GGTTGTTCACACTTGCTTGGTTATCAGGTTATCTGGTTATGTGGTTATATTTTTTATTCAGTTTACAACAATAAAATACACTACAGAATAATAATTTTTAACCAGATAACCTGATAACCAAGCAAGTGTGAACAGCCTAAGTATCAAAAATATTGTACACAAAACGTTTGAGATCAATTCAATTCATTTCAAACGTTTTTTTTTTCTTCAACAATACAATTTCAAGCATTTTATTCGTTTAAAAACAAAAAGTTTTTATATCCTATATTATATCAAAAACAAAAAGTTTTTCTATCCCCTAATTGTATACAAAACGTTTGTAAAAAAATCATACATCTTTGAGATCTCTTTTTGCTGACCACACGTAATGTGCATCAGCCTTTTGTACTAGTTCTTTACAGTGCATAATACTATTTATTGTACTGATGTTCAGTTTATTTCTGAGTTTGGTTTTTGGGCGCAGGCGAGTTTTCATCACCACGAGAATTTTCAGTATTTGTTAATTGACACATATGTACATTAGACGTGTCTTATGCTGTATGGAAAATTTTCAAAATATGTTCTAGATGATTGGATTGGGCTATTTTTTTTCCTTTCCACCTAGCAATAGCTGGGATGAAATTTGGTGTAAACTGGATGACGAAAAGTCGGCGCGGAAATCAAGTAAAGGTTGAAAATAACTTACAAGGACGAAAAATGGCGGTCTTTCGATTTTCGTTAAAATTTATTTTTGTAAATATTAGATTTGTGATACATTAATAAAATGGTTTTATTAAGTACGTTATCACGTTACATACAAAGATCCATATATCTCACACCGTCTTCAAAAGAGACACAACTCAAAATTTGGCATTTTTGAAATTATGCGCTAAAAATGTACGCATAGCTTTTATTTACCTTCCTGCAAAAGATGGAGCAAATTTTTGTTATAATTTGTTAAAACAGCCTTAGTAAAGTCTCCCTTGCTCATATGATTAGCATGTGTTAAGAAATAGTTTTTCGCATTTTCTGACCAACGTGTTATTTTGAGTGGTGCCTCTTTTGAAGACGGTGTGTGATATGATAAATTCGGTTACAAAACAACTAAGTTGCCGGGTTTTCGACTTAAAGTAAGTTTGTTTTTTTAATGTAGGATACTTTTTCCTATAGGATTCTACAATATGGAGCAAAAACTCTTTCTCTTCTTCGTTTTTCGTAAGGACTTTGCTGAAATCCTTCATGAATTTTACTCCTCTTTCCGCAGTGTCATTAGTAACAAATAAATCGCGGCAGAATTGGTGGCCATTTTGG